TTGTCATAGGCATGTCTCAATTGTGACTTCAGGGTGTGAGCTGTGACAGTGCATCAGGGCTTCTCTTCTCTTCTCTTCTCTTCCACCTGCTATGTTTCTAGGGGACTGAACATCAGTTCCCCTCCCTGCAGAGTTGCAGCACTGGGAGATTATTATGGTCTTAAAAGTGAAAGCCTATAATTTAAGGTCATAACACCATCTTTAAAATGGAGATTGAAATACAGTGATATAAAATACATAAAGCGTCAAGATGTAGCAAATGTCTCTTCCCATTGGATTTTTCCATTTACAAGAGGGTAGTAATACCATGTATATTTTCTCGAAATATATAGTATATTTTCCATATTGATTGTGTAGCTTTTTTATTTAAAGTGGAGCTGGTGCCCTGATAGACCCAAATTCCTTTCAATGCCTACTAAATAAAATGTTTTGGCACTTAAAAAGAAAGATAAAATAACACAAAATAAAAATTTTAAAGCCTAGAAAAGAAGGCTCCAACTTTCTAATATATCAAATATTTACTAAGATATCAAATATTTCTAGAAAATAACATCTTGATGAGCTGGTTATAAATGAACATGTGGATTGTGTTTTCCTTAATATACCAATAGTTTATCGTGGCAGAAATAAATGCTAAGAGCAGAAAGGATCCCCAGTGCTAGATCCTTGACTTTGAGAGCAAAGGAGCTCAAGACATTCAGCAAATTCAAAACATCCCCTTTACCCACCTTTTAAGATTATGTTTGTATAGTTATTTCTTATGACATTTCAAAGCTTCTTCATAATTCTAGGTATTGATTTGAAAATGCCAGTTTTCAATACTAAATAATGGTGGAATAAAATTTTCTGTGAATCAATTTTTCAGCCACAAGAGGACAAACACTGTATGGAAAATGATTCTACTTTCACCAGGAAGGAAATGTCATGGGCCTCCGAATTGGGAGGGGGAAAAAAAAATCTTGCAGCAGCAGTGCCTATTGGAAATTACCAGGAATAAATATCTTTTTTTTCTTGAAATAAAGTTCAAGGTAACATTTAAATGAATAATTATTTACCATCTTGTTAAATGCAGGCGTGTATGTCGGGCACCATCTATTAGTATAAAAGCTTTTTCTGCTTAGAATTGCTCATTAGCTTTTTTGTAGGCTGTACTGGTTTTAAGATTCAAATTCAAAATCTCCTCTGATTTTGCTGTTCCATTTCTGGCAGCTGGCCAGTGGCAGATATGCATAATATTTCACTGTTAGACCTTGCAAACATTATATCCTGCTGTGCTAAAGAAAACATTGTGTTTCTTACCACATGAAAATAATCCATCACTTTTCAATCAGCACACAAAAAAAGCTCTACCTGTTTTTTCCATCAGACTCAAGAAAAATTAATGGCCCCAATGTGAAAGGTGGACCCTCCATACATGATCCATTAAAGTACAAACTAATCAAAATATATCTAGCATCTGATTTGCTAAGCAAGATGGAACAAAAGAGGTGCGATGAAAAAAATAGATCCTTCTAAGACCCATACAGCCTTGTTCTATCAGTATTAACCTTATTTATTTTAAATGTGGGAGAACATAAATAAAAAATCATGAAATGAATCCGTTGAATTCAATCAATTCAAATAGACACTGTATTTATCTGGAAGAGATGGCTAAAGATACTTCATGTGGACTGGAAGAAATTTTTATAATAAAAATGTTTTTTAAAAAGTAAAGAAAGAAAGATTATAAATCCCCCAGTGGGCCACTAGGCAACACAATATATTAAAGTAAAATTTTCTTTGGGAGTGAAAAAAATCAGTATTTTGTCAACTTGTTCATGCCTTTAAAAATAATTTCATGTCTTTTGCAATGCTGATGTTGTAGCTAGTTTTGAGTGAGGCATGAGGACTTCCCTTTCTAGAGCCCTACAACTTTTGTAACAATATTCTAATCAGAGAGATATCAGCCATATCAATGGAGTGCCAATTAAAAAACAATCCATTTTATGACTTTTAAACACATTTGTTGCAATTGCTTGGCCTTCTTTACTACTGCCTGGTTCTGGGAAATTATTTTCAATTTCTCTCTCCCTTTCTTTCTTTCTTTCTTTCTTATTTTCTCTCCCTTGCCCCCCTCATTTATTCTCACTTTCTTGTGGCATGACCTGTGTCATATATAGTTTAATGAATGTAATAAAAAATACAGACAATGGAATGTAATGCTAATACTAAGAAGGTATCTATGATAGCAAATAATTTTACACAAAAGTATATTTTTATATTTTTGTAACTTCAGGTTTAGAATTCCACACTGCATTTTTAACTAGTATTCCAGTTTCTGTCTTCTTTTTTTCCATCTCAAATCCATGTTGAAACAGTCTTTACACTGGTCTTTCTAAAGCATAACTGTATTTATATCCCCTCTCATATCACAATCTCCCTTTAGTTGATGTCCATTGAATGAGAGAATAGAGTTTCAGAGTTGGAAGGCTCAAATATAATCATTTCACATATGAGCAAACAAGCTTAGGGATTTTAAGGGATTTGTCCAAAGACACGCAGTTTGTGAATGATAGCTCTGGAATCTTCAGGAGCCTCAGTACAGCACTTTCACCACTACACAAGTGGTTCTCTCCTAGAGTAGTGCTTCTCAGACTTTAACTGGTATGCAGATGATCTGAGGATCTTGTGAAAATGTAGAATCTGATTCAGTAGGTCTGGGGTTGGAAATCTGAAATCTGCATTTCTAAGAAGGTCCTAGGGCATGCCCATGCTGGTTTGGAGACCCACACTGAGTTGCAAGGACCTAAGAACTCTTTCAAATTCTTACACTGGTTTTCAAGGTGCTTTAAAGTGTAGTCCTGTGTCCCACTGTCCTGTACGAACACTCCAATATAGTTATGCAGAGTACTTGCTCGCTTATTGAATACCTTTTGAGTATTCTGACTCTTTTATTTATTCATCCTCCCACCTCTCTCTGCTTCTTTGCAATTGCATGTTTACACTTCCTTTCAATAGCAAAGTTATTTCCCATCTTCTCCATAAAGACTTTCTCATGACCAAACATAAAATGATCTTTGTGTCCTCTGATTATCTCTATCACTCCTTAAAATCTTAATAAGTCAATAGCTACTTATCAAATAAAAGAACAAAACACATGTATAAGTGAATCAAATAGCAGCAGTGAACGAAGGGCATTCAGTTGTACAAGGCAGGAGAAACTGAAATTCCTGAGATCTGCGGAAAACCTCAGAATTAATAAAAAAGGTTTCCTCCTTTTCTTGACTACATCTTGTGCTAAAAATACTTCTGGGTTAATTGCAGAAAATGAAGCTTAGAAGACCGTGAATTGTCATAGGGCAAGGATCATCAACATTTGTTGTAAAGAACCAGATCGTATATGATCATGTCAGCTGCATGGTTTCTATGGCAACTACTGAACTCTGCCATTATGGTAGGAAAGGAGCCATTGGTAATACGTAAACAAATGGATGTGGCAGTGTTCAATAACACTTTATTTACAACAAGAGGCAGCAGCCAGATTGGCCTGCCTGTAGTCGTTTACCAATCACTATCATAGATGATAACCAAATCTATATTAAATAAGGAAAGAGAAGGACTTATTGAATCCACAGTTGTTAATTGTAGCTTAACTAACTCTGTAATGGGGAGCAAATCTTAAGAACTGGGTCAGTCCAGGGCAGAGAAGAGATGCACTGGGCAATGCAAGAAATCCAAGAGATTTTTCAATGAAATAATCTTTGATGGAGCCCAATCCAAATCATATTTATAACACACCCAAACCCAATTTTCAAAATCCTACTACCTTGACATAAAGGTGTGACACATAGGTCATATAATTGGCAGCACCCTGTTAGAAATTTAGAATCTCAGGCCTCATCCTTACACATTACCATTAGTGCAATCTGAATCTCACCAAGATCCTCAGTTGATTCTTATGCACTTTACAGTTTGAAATCCCAAAATGAGGTATGTCAGTGATCTGCATCAGAATCCTATGGGAGCTGGGAAAAATGTCAGTTTTGGTCCAATCCCAGACCTACTTAATCAGTGTCACTGGGGATGGTACCCCAAGTTTTTAAAATATAAATCCACGTTGGAACTCTAAAACTGTTGATTGTGAGCTACAAGATTGACACTAGTTGTTTCCATTCCATCCCTTCTGGCTTCATTTTTTTGGCAGCTGTACTTGTTTTGTTAATCTCTTTCCTATTCTCTTTTATAATTTTTAAAATTAAAATTTTTTTACGGATACATAGTATTTATACATATATATGAGGCACATGTGATATTTTGTTACATGCGTAGAATGTGTAATGATAAATTATGGAATTTGGGTATCTATCACCTCAATATTCATTTCTATGTGTCAGGAACATTTCAAGCCCTCTCTGTCAGGTATTTTGAAGTATGCAATACATTGTTGTTAACTATAGTGACCCTACTCTGCTGTCACTGTTCCCTTTTCCAGCTCTGAATTATTTGCTTTTCTTAACATAAGAGTAACCTTTATTTTTTCTTAATTTTTGGTCAACATGAATATATGTCCATAAAATGATATGAAGACTATTTTATTATCTTACCAGATGGTACCAAGGTTCCTCTTGTGGAGATGATTAAGTCTGTTTGGGAGAAGCTTTTGATAAGCCACTTGGAGTATAGCAGTGCAAAGGCATGCTCAAATAATAACATGGTGATTAAAATGTTTTCTAAAAATGGGAAGATCTATTAACTGCATGACCTTTTGTTTTTGCCTGGGAATATACAGGTTTGGGGTGGAGGCGAATTGCTTTGGAAACTTGTATACTTTGTTCTACTTTTTCTTCCATAAAATGCTGGTTCAGTAGAAAAAGAAAATCTCAATTGTATTAAGGGAGACAGGACTTTGGAGTGTGGCAAGTGTCATGTGGTTGTAAGATACGTGATACAAAGTATCCTGATCGTCCTGCAACATCTTCACCAAAGTCTCCACTGCTTACTATGACTCTGTTTTCTTACAGGGCTTTTCTGGAGTGAGGGAGCAGACTGAGGGAAGAACCAGAAGGCTGCCAAAATGTAAGTCATGGTGGATATGATAGACAAAACGACCGGAGAATAAGAGGACAGCTGACATCAAGGAAATATCAATATCTGTCGAGAAGATTAGGGCCACCCTAATAATGTGTTATTAATTTGCACATTTTAAGAGGAATTTACAAATCCCTCTTTGCATCAGAAACATCCGTCCTTGGGCCTATTCCCATATATTCTCAGTCAGTTGGTCTGGAGTGAGACCCAGACATTCAACATTTTTTCAAGATCAGGTGAATCTGAAAGGTGCAGCCAAGATTGAGAACTAAAGTGAAGAATCTAAAATAATCCAAGCAATGCATGTTACAACTGATAAAGTAGAAAAGTACATACAGATACAATTCCTTTCTCTTTTTTGTCTTTTTTCTTTCTTTCATCACACAAATGATTTTTAACTATTGTTCTGATAGTTTTTATTAATAAGCACTCAATAAATGTGTTGCATTCCTAACAAAGAGAGAAAAATAACATGAACCTAATCAATTAGTATAGATTTATCTAAAATATTGTAATCTATGGCTTCTTGATTATTAAAGAAAATAAATAATATAAATTTAGTAGTAATAGAAATATATGCAGATCTGGCTTGACAGTTTTGTGAATATATATTAGTCTACATTATGTTTGAATAGCCTTTCTTTACCAGGTTAGTAAATTTCTCACAAACCTTTTTTAAGAGTCATTTTATTTTAGTGTAGATGTTGAGGGCTTGGGATATTTTGAAAAAAATAGTGCATTTAAAATGTAGACGTTCATTCAATGAGTATTCTTAAACTGCTCTGTAATAACTCAACATGGTAAAGGCTACAGAGAAATGGGAAGGAAGTTCAGGTGAGGTTGAGAAGACTAAAGGTAAGCTGTATAAAGAAAAAAAAATCATTGGTAATAAATAATTCATTAATAGATCGACTCATAGAGATCACCACCGAGTCAGCAAATCTGCAGCTAGGATTAACTGACTGCTGTGCCACAGGGTTGGCATAGCTGGGATTGACTGACTGGTATGCCACAGGGTTGGGCTGAGAATAGTAGGGCGGGTACTAAGTTGGATACTCCAGAAAAATCTCTCCTTATAGCTCTTCTAGCATTGGAGAGAAAATCAGAAAAATAATCTAAGGCCTTAATTTAGCACAACATTACCGGCTGGTTATTCGAAACATCCCCAATGGTCAAAGAGTTTACCACAAGTGTCTTTACATAGCTATGTTTTTAGTGCTATGGTTGTTTACTTGAGAAAAGTCTTCCTAATATCCTAATTGTGTCTATATTGACATAATAGTATTGGTTTATTGAACTCATCTCTTTACATTGATAGCCTTTAATAGAAAAACATGTATCTATATATATTCACCAAAGATTAATACACTATATTGTAACCAGTCCCATTAGAACAGATAACTATGCTCAAAAAATTTCAAGAAAGTGATTTACTTATTTTAACAGTTTCACTGAAGTATAATTGACATTCAGTAAACTGTATGTATTGAAAGTGTGCAGTTTGGTTTTTGACATGTTATACACTCATGAAACTAACTGCAATCAAGATAACAAACATATTCATCATTCCCAAGAGTTTCCTCATGCTCCTTTATAACCACTCATGCACTCCACTTCCCTGCTGAAATCTCCGCACTGTTTTCTGCCGCCATAGATATCAGTTTTGTCTAACTTCTTTCACTGAGAATAATTATTTTGAGATACATCTTTGCTATTGCATGGATCAATCATTCATTCTTTTCTCGTTCTGAGTAGTATTTCATTAGATGCACAATTTGTTTATCTGTTCCCTTGTGAAGAAGAAACATTTTGGCTGTTTATTTTTGCCGATTGCAGATAAAGCTACTATGAATGTTTGTGTCGAAGTCTTTGTATGGACACCTGCTCTCATTTTTTGGGTTTGTGCAGAGAAGTGGAATGCTGGACTGCCTAGTAGTTGCATGTTTAACTTTTTAAGAAAGTGCAGAACTATTTTCCAAAAATGCTGTAGCATTTTACTCTTGCGCTCCACTCCCCTGCAGAAATCTCTGCACTGTTTGTAAAATGTAGGTCACCGCTTGCTGCGTTTAAGAGTTTCAGTTTCTCCACATCCTCAACAACATTTCATATGGTCAGTATTTTTAATGTTGACCATTATAATAAGTGTATATATATATTTTAGTGGAACTTCAGGTGAGTGATTTTAAAGACTTCCTTGCTAGGAAATAGGAAAATAAGAAAAATGCATTCAGTCCTCGTTTTCTTTCTGCGCTGTCTTAGATATTTCAGGTTCAGTATCTGTTCCAAAACCTTTCTCTCTGCTCTGCCATGGCCAAAAGAGTTCATTCACCTTTCCCCTTTGACTCTTGCAGACAATTGTGTGCCTTTAAAGGAAATAACAACAAGAATTAGGAGCGCCCTGGAGGCAAGGTAAAATTTGGCCTGTGTAATCAATCATATCTGCTTCACTGAACCATAATGACTGTGTACAGGAAGACATCTTCAGTGGGGCAGACTTGTTTCTATGAAATCCTTAACATTTTGTGGGAGAGAAAGCAGTTTTATATTTAGCTTTTAACATGCTCAGTCATAACTACTTTTCTTGGGCATAGGTGAGTTGTATTGGTGTGCAGTTATGGTAATATGTCAAAAAATAAAGGTAAGTACGTCAGTAGAACAGCTGGCCTATTTTAAAAATAGTGTCTTAAATAATTCAAGCTAAGAAATAGGATCAATTGTGTAATATCCAACATCGCAATAACCATTTACAAATGGTGAATTGTGGCGGCTGCCCTCAGTTTCCTCCAGAATTATTTCCCTCAAATCAAGTAAAGTCAAAGATTCAGAGATAGATATATGACCTTGAGGAACAATTTTCAGGAAACACAAAACAAACAATATACTAGTGTCTGCAACTAGGGAAAAAAGCTGTAATGCTGTAAGGAGTCACCAAACTATAATGGTAGCCAATAAAAGTATTACAAATGCCAAGCAGATGAAGCTTTGTAAAGTAAGTCACTTTATCATCTAGTTCTTTAGTTTCTGTTTTCATTGAAGTTCAGACATGCAGCAAGTATTTTATTTAACTACTTAGAGGGTGATATTAAGTCTCTATAATACGTGACTTTCTTTGCACACATTTCCCATAAGTCATTCCAAACTACTTTCATACAACGTAAAGGAGAAATTGGGAAAATCTTCAGTCAACCATCACACCTTAGAAAGTGATCCCTGAATTCGAATGTCCATGTTATGTACTGAATATTATGACCTATCAGAGGAAATACATGAGTACCTAATCTTGAGGAAGATTATGGTCTTGATGATGAAATTGATGAGGGTGAAGAAGTTATTCATGATGATGATGACGACACTACTACTACTACTAATGATTATAGCACCTCACATTTTCAAGGTGCATACTCTGGGCCCGTTTTGCATACATTATCTCATTTAATCTTTGCAAAGCCCTGTCAGGTTGGTCATATTATTATCTCCCTTTTACAGGAAAGTTCACTGAAATAAATTACATAGGCAGTATAGCACTTTGTAAGCTCTCTCCATTCTAGTCTTGTCTCTCAGTTACCACAAAAATTAATGGAACTTAGTTATAGTAATTGTTATTAACAGAAAAATTGGAGGACAGACAGTGTGCAGTTTGGTTGGAGGAAGAGCTCGGCAGCTCTCCACCTGGTTAACAATCAGTTAATGGGTGTAGATATCAGGAATAAGGGAGAAAGCTCCTCAAGCTGCAGATCATTATGCAGCAGCTCAGCATGTTTATTAATCATTGTGCACAATTAAAATGCCATTTCATCCCTCTAATTAAAACAAGTAGTTCCCTGAGGCTAGCACCTGAACTAATGAAGCCTGGTTGCCTAAGGATCTCACTCAGAGAAGGGAATTAAACAATGGAGGAAGCAGTATGTTTACCAGGTTGCCCAGACAACGTCAAACTGTATATGACATCATGAGCGAGTGGACCAGTTGAGACTGTAATTTTAAAGAGCCAGAGATGCTTCTTTTTCTGAGCAAAAGCTGGATTTCAATATTGACATTTTTCTAAATTTGTAATCGGTTGGTATCAATATACCTGAATTAGAATGTCCATGTTATATAGTGAAAATCATGACCTCTAAGAGGACAAGCATGAGGCTCTAATATTGAGCAAGCTAAAAATGTTAGGTGCCATTATCATTAGTGATAGTATTGTCATCATCATTATCATCAATAACTTTTTCACCCTCATCATCAAGACAATTGGTATATTGATACCAACCAATTGTATACTGTACAATAAATTCTAAATACTCTTTCTTCTTGGTATGTGGAATGGGTATCTTGATGTTTGGAGAGAGGATTTTGAGGAATTCTCTATTGGCATCTAGGTATTTGGGAGGCTGAAGGGATTTTTGAAATCGGTTGACTCTAGAAATAAAAGGGTATAGATAGGTTATGGAGCCACAATTTAAAATAGAGGGTAGATAAATGGGCTAGATGAAAGAAAACCTAGGATTCAATCCCAGTATTGCCACTTGAACTGAATGACCCTGAACAAAGTCCTTAGAAAATAGAAGGACTGAACTAGGTAATCATCAAGTTTTCTTCTAGTTCCAAAATTCTATGGCTTTGTGGTAATTTGTGATTAACATAACAGTGCAAAGAGATTTCATTGTATCCCAGTTCCCTTACAAGTTTGGCTGAATCAAGTCTTACTTATTCTTTCCTTCTAATTCCTGTTCAGCTCACCAGCATATCTTTGGTGTCTGATACTATACTTGGCATATAGAAGTTGCTTAATTAAATATACATGGAAAATATCAATCAGGTTAAACCTACAGATCTCAGTAATACACAGCTTTCAGTGCCTTGCTTCAAATATTTAGGAGCAACCCTACATATGATTCTGCATTATTTATCTGAGAAGTGGCAAACCTGAGGGTTATGAAAGCTGCTTTCATTTCAGCCCGTCTGTGAACTCAGTTTTGTACAATTCTGTACTTGAAAGCTGTGGTCTCATGTTGCCTCCTCTTGTACTAGGCAAGAAGCCATGGCTTATTCTTCCCGTTTTCTACCTGTCATCCCTTTAGTTGCCTTGATTCCCTGATATCCCAGAAAAATAGTCATGCTTGGAAGTTGGAGGAACTTAGGAGCATTGGTTGTTTTTTTTTTCTTTTTGGAGATGGAGTCTTGCACTGTGGCCCAGGCTGGAGTACAGTGGCGTGATCTCAGCTCACTGCAATCTCCACCTCCTGGGTTCAAGCAATTCTCCTGCCTCAGCCTCCTGAGTAGCTGGGACTACAGTTGCATGCTGCCACACCTGGCTAATTTTTTGTATTTTAGTAGAGATGGGTTTTACTGTATTGCCCAGGCTGGTCTGGAACTCCTGAGCTCAGGCAATCCACCCGTCTCGGCCTCCCAAAGTGCTAGGATTATAGGCATGAGCCTCTGAGCCTGGCCGGAGCATTGGTTCTTATTTTTTATGGTCATAGAGTTTCATGAAAATCTGATAAATTTCATGAAATCTTTCATCAGAAAAATGTGTAGCATGATTTTGCAAACAATTGTGGGTTATGAGGTTCACAGAGTTTTGGAAGCTCATCTATGGAGCTCAGGTTAAGTTAAGAACTCTTATTTTAAAGGGTTATGTAAGAATTTTTAACAGTCCTTTAGGGGTCCTATGTATCTCCTCCCTTCTTGCCTCCCTCCAGCATGTGAAGAAAGATGGCCAGCTAACAGAAAAATAGGTTTTTTTGTTTGTTTGTTTCCTTGTTGCTGTTTTTTTTTTTTTTTTTTTTTTTTGGTAGAGACAGAATATGCATGTGCATGTCAATGGCAAGTTGTTCTTTACAGTGTGGCCAGTAGGCTCCAGAATGAGGCATAATGATTTTAGTTATTTCCTCTTCTACCTTCTTTATTTATAACCAGGCATCTGGCTTTGATGTATTTACTTTAAACAAAGTAAAAGGACAACAGTGAGGTGGTAATAATCACACTAGTAAAAAATAGGCAAAGCATAGAAAAATATTAGGGCCTTCATTTTCTCACACTGTTCATCCTATTCTTCAGGCGAGGAATATGTTGGTAACTGGAAATTACAAGCTCAAGTTATCTGACTTATGAATCTAAGAATTTAATCTTTCTGTTTTTGAAGAATTGTTCATATGTTGAACCTAAATCTTTCTTTCCAAACTGAAGTTCAGTTTCTCTTGTACATCATAGTAGGAAATGTAACTTGGTCAATAAGACATCCAGAAACTAGCAGAAATCAGCCAATAACTCAGATTTAAGTGGCGTGATAATTGGGTTTCCTAAGCATTTTTTGGTATTAAAACAAGTTAATCAACCATAAAACACAAACTCATCAGAATCTAAGGTCTTATTCAATTAACTTCTGGCCTCAAACACTTAAGTGTTTTTTTTTCTTTCTTTCAAATCATTATGTCATATTTTGCCAAGAGAGAAGGGATGGTCTGGAGTGAAAAATTCCAAAGATGGAATAAGAGCCAATCCTTTTAAACTGTATCATTTTATCCATGATTATTATTTTTAGTAAAAATAAAAACAAAAGTTTTCTTCTTGCCCAGAAAGGAGATGAAATCTTAAACTTACAAGTTGAAACAGAAGGACTGAAGTTTTATAGTTTTTTGTTTGAAGTGACCCTTGTATTCTTATATTTACTCAAAACATTGGATAAACTAGAAATTTGGGAGGCAAAATAACTATTAATATAATACCATCAACACATGATTTTCTGCCTAGATGCTTTATTTTAAGTTGATTTACAACTGCTTAAAATCTTTTCTTGGTATGAAGGTCATAAATTAATGGTTAAAATAGGCAAGTGTAAACCTTTACTAGTCCTCAAATCACAGCTTTAGCTTAAGCTTTCCTGGATGTGAGCCTATAAGTTGCCAAACTACTGTGGTAGAGTTAAGAGAGAAAAGGAGGCTTTTTCCCCCTTTTTGTCAGACAAAACTGTATTAAAATCCCGTATGCCATATATTTAGCTATCTGACCCCGGGTAAATTATTTAATCTCTCTGAGCCACGGTTTTCAGCTGTAAAGCAGTAGGAAAAACATTCTTCTGATAAGGTTCATGGTAGGCACACTGATTTAAAAAATCAGTTATTTCCCTATTCCTTGAATTGTTATTACACTTGGATGGTGTCACTATGACTACAAAGGTAGCAGAAAAAAATGCAATGACTCTATGAGATAGTTAAAAGATCAGGAAAGGCAGTGGGTCAAAATTTTGGTAGACAACTCAAGAGTTAGGGCATAGCACAATCTGCATTGCTTAACACTGAGGCCATGTTCTGAGAGATGCATTATTCGTCCATTTTGATATTGTACAAACATCATAGAGTATCCTTACAGAAACCTAGCTTGTGTAACCTCCCACACACCTAGGCATACAGCCTGTTGCT